TTTGCTGGGGCCAGGGGGCCGTTTAGGGCCCCGGCGGGGGTCCAAGGGGCGAAGCCCCCTGGAAGCCACGGATATTTGACGAATTATGGCGAATTTTTATTACCTATTTGAATGGCATCTAGTTACTATAATATAACTTCATGTAGGCTATGTTTTCTAATGTCGAAATCAGCTTCCAAAACCAAAACATTTTGAATAAAACAAGAAACAAAGAGTATGCAATGTAACCATCTCATTTATTTTCAAATCCTCATTCTTGAAAGTGAAATTCTACATTTTGGAAATTTTGCATTTGTCAAAGCTATCAAGGTCGAGGTTGCTTCCCCTATCACGATGTATTCAAAGCATCTTTAGGCTATCTATACGAGCATTTGTCATAAAAGAATGCAAATTATTTTTAATTAGTCTCATTGAACTATTATTAGGCCCATTATTATTAGGTCTATTATTATTATTATTATTATTATTATTATTATTATTATTGTGATGAAAAGTTTAAAAAAAATAGAAATTAATGAAAGTAAATAATTTTTTTTATTTGTTTATTCCCCGACAAAATTTACTCGTCTTACCCTCTGGCGCCACCCCTGGTATACGTGTCCATTTTACTCCCCAAAAATGAACGCCTCCCTTGAATATACGCTTCCCTTAAGTAAACGCCTCAGGCAAACACCCTTCTTAACAATAAACGCGGTATATATGGGTTTATTAACAAATAGAAAACAACATAACAACAGTGTTCAAATAGGAACACGCAGTTATATAATAATCGTATCAACAGCAGTTATGGGACACTCTAAAAACCTTCCTATGTGTATGTGTTGGTGTGTGAACAGGGAGATGTAAAAATGCTGCTATCGATAATGATAATGATAATAATGATGATGATAATAACGATGAGGGCAATGACAATGATAATGATAACAAAACAATAATAATAATAATAATAATAATAATACCAATAATAATAATAATAATAACAATAATAATAATATTAATAACAATAATATTAATAATAATAATAATAATAATAATAATAATAATAATAATATTCAAAACGTAAAGATGGAGAAAGAAAAAGAAAAAGAAATAAATAAGATAATAAACGATAAAGAAAAGATAAAGAAACGATAGAAAGAAAGAAAATGAGAAAAACAGGATAAAAAGAAAGAAAGGGAAATGAAAAGATAGGATGAAAAAAGTTATGGATAAGACATGAAAAGAACAAAGAGAGAAAAGTAATAGATAAGCACTAATATGATCAGCTAAAACAAAAAATTATATAAGAAAAGAATATAATATATAAAGTCCGTACAAAATAATTTAAAATTATAATAATAGGCCTAATAATAATTGTCGCTTATATAGCGCATATTGTAGAAACTATAATTCTGATATGTATTACTAGTGCTTAAGTTTTTTTTAAATTTTTATATTAATATACATTTAAAATACACTTAATGCAAATAAGCAGCTGACAAAATAAAGAGAAAAAAACTATTGAAACTTTGAAACATTCGTATAGTCATTGATCTTTCGCGACATTTGGTATCAGTACCTAAGTATTACTTACAAAGATTCCCCAAAATAGACGAACTGACCTTCACCCACGCTTTATCATCATTACCGAGCTTCTCAACAGCTGATCTTTATTATCAAGATTACATTTAAAGCTAGTACCGAACAGTCCATTTAAAATGCACGAATACGAACATGAATGAAACCACCAACCACCACCATGTTTTAAGGCACAGTTATTGTCTTCAATGTCGTATGTTGAGAAACTTTCACCGTCTTCATAAAATAATACGTGGCCTGAGGTTAAAAAAAAAATTGAGTAAAGGATATTGATGAAACGATATTGTTATATCACCCAACAAATCATTAGAGATTATTCAATCATTATCATTATTCATCATCATTAGAAAAATTAATCATTGTTGATATTAAGCATCGTCATTATCATTATCATCAGCAGCATCATCAACATTAATCACCGTTATTGTCAGCTATCATCATTATCAATTAGCATCATCATCGTCATCAATAAAAATCATCATCGAGTCGAGTGGCCGGGCTGTAAGACAGGGGCACCGGCCGCCAATTACAGCCTTGATATCGCTGTTCAGGCTGCTTCTCAGATAAGGAGTTACAGTGGATCATGTAGGCCTATAATATAGTGTAAACATTTGCAGTGGCGCCGAGAGGCTGGGGCCTACAGGGCAAGTGCACCGGGGCCGACAGGAGCCCGGGATCTTCCACTGTAAAAGGAATAACTTTTACTTTTCGTGTTTTCTATACATCATTTTTCATGACCTGGTGAAATTAAGCACTCTATAATCAATTAAATTAGTCATCTAAAGCTGCCCCGGCTCATACATGCACTTTAAAGAAACCATTTCATCTTTCGGAAGAGCAGAGAGTTTTACCCCGATGCAATAATTCATTTCAGCCCCTTCGTTTTGGAATGATGTGAACATGTAACCATATAGAAGTTCCCTTTTATGGCGGTTAGGTAGTCAGAGGCCACGCTCATAAGCAATTCAGCACAATGACATAGCGATGTAACGCCTATTGGTTTATTCTTCTACCTTTACCTTCAATCTGTATCATCTATATTATAAGTAAGCCTATTTCAAATTATGAAATCATAACAGATAACCGGGCCTAAATAAACGTCTGAGGTTCGAAACCTAGAGGTATGAAAAACTGTACAACACAAATCATCAACGTAACGTCACGCGAAGTGATATCAATCCATATTTATGATCAATTGTGGGAAAATCATAAATTTTACATATGTTTTTAATCATTAATCATCATAATCATCAATAATAATAACAATCATTAATAATAATAATAATAATAATAATAATAATAATAATAATAATAACAATAATCATCATCATCATCATCATCATCATCATCATCATCATCATCATCATCATCATCATCATCGACTGAAATATTATAGTAGAAATAATACCTGCATCGCTCTCTATAGGCGATCCTAGTTCCAGCTCATAGTTGTTACTTTCGTCCTTTATTCTGAATGAATTGTAGGTTGCTGTGAACAACTCTCCCGCTTCTGTATATAGCTGTATTTTGACACTAAATGTTGCCTCTGTCGTCAACCTGTTTATGAACATGTTGCCCATCCACAGGTCGGCGTTAATGTCACCGAACCCTGTCTTGTATTCCCTCCAGGTCCTGTTAAAGTTGAAGTTATGATTTTCCCGTTTCTGCAAAACCTGAAATTCACATTTTTAGTAAGAAAAAATAATGGAATCACAGTAACATTTTAACAATATAGTAACTGAAACATAGACATATCAAATCAAACAAAATTAATTTGTTAAAGTTTTAATTTAAATCATCATCATAATCGTCATCATTATCATCACCACCATTATTGTTAATATTATCACTATTTTTATTAATATTATTGTTATAATAATAATAATTATTATTATTATCATTATTATTATTATTATCATTATTATTGCCATTGATATTAATTATAATAAAATTAATACAAATAACAATATTATTGTTAGTTAAGAGTCCAACTCTTATCAGTGTCAATATACTCTAAATATTTGGATTGTGTTATGTCAACTCCACTATTGTGATGTTTATGATGACAAAGCGATGCAAGATGATACTTACAGTCCATCCTTCATTATTCGCTATTTCGCATTTCACAAGAAACGTTTCCTTTCCATCAGTAACCGGATATGTCCCAGAGGTCGCTCTGGGTAGATTAGCAGCGATCTGGCTGCAGTCTCTATACTGATAATGAATCAAAACACTCAGATTAGAAATTTAATTTAATTTATAAGAAATTAATGAAAAAAAAAACATCAATTAAGATTTGATTGATGAATTGTTGACATCCAATTGGTTATAGATTCACTGTCTGTCAGATAAAAACAAACTCTAACAATTAATTACATATTTGGATTGCTTAATTTGTATGTTTTATCCGAACTTGCAATTAAAAATCTGCATGAGAAATAAAAATCCCCGCCTATATGGACATGATAATACTGTACCTTATTTTTTATTCTTTTACATAGACCATGGACATATAAATAATTATTAATAGATGTATGCAGACCTAATTGATTTGACTGGTAATCAATTTTAGGATATTTGTAGTAAAGTATTTGTAAATCGTTGAACATTTTTTTCGATCTGTTTCTTTGGTTAAAGTTAATTTTTGGGCTTTTCTCCATTTTTTATCTATTTATTTATTTTTTGGCAGGCATTATTTCGTTAAACAATATGGATATAAATGCGTTCAAAATACGTAACTTACTTCTGTCTTGATTGAATAGAAGTCTGTGTTTCTACTTGGACGATGGGGGAGGCCCCAAAGAGGCCAGAGTTTACAAATCATTGTGGTTCTTTCAAAGGAAATTGATGCACACGGAGGGTGGTGTCGTAGGCATACAATGCAGCATTGTACCGCATTTTTCGCCTTCGTTGATAGTATGGCAGGAGCATTTCTTCCCCCACACCTCAACGCGTTGTTACATGGGATTGATTTTGCAAAAAATAACTGCCTCAAGTTCGGGTTATTGCCTAGAGAACAGATAGATGCAAGTGTAAAACGTATTAATATTGTATAACAATACCATGAAAATTACTACTAATACTAAATTATTTATACAGAGTATTCAAGTCAAACGATCTGTTGGTCCAATTATGTTAGAATAGAGTTGTGATTGCAGTGTTTTCTTTAAAAAAAACTTAAATTCAAGGTATATTTGTAGGCTATATTGCAGATGCAGTGCAAGTACTGAATTGGTACAAAATTAATAATGCAAAGTATAACATTAGGCCTATAGAATATAAATTGCAAAATTAAAGTGACTTTCAAAATAAAATCTATACAATAAATAAATTAGCCTTATACATATACATTAAAATTATTTAAAAAAAATTAAATCCTACACCAAAATACAAAAAAAAAATAAATAAAATTGACAAATTTAAGCATAAGATTAAAGTTTAATTTAATCAAACTACAATGTTACTCTCAATCGAGGACACAGAAGCTATTAAAACTGACCATTTCCTCCGGTACCTTGGTGGCCGGAGAACCGTCTTTGTCGTGTGTGCTCTATACAAGAGAGAAGCAAAAATTTTAATGAAAATGGGACAAAGTTAGCATGTCATTAATGTACTATTTTAAAGGAGTTTTCTTAAGCTTGCGAAAACTCCTTATTGTCCTAAAAAACAACGTAAAAGTAAATAAAAACACGTGCATTTGTGATACACGCACGTATTCTTTGCACAGTTGTGATTCGTAGCCTATTGCAGTTCAGTCTCGAAGAATTAAGTTTGAGAGGCATAAACATATTCGGCATTAAGTGCAGGAAGGGGAAAGGACAATAGCAATCAGTAAGAAGACCTAGGGGAGCGCAAGGAGTGTGAACGGTACTGTACCCGGTCAATGCACACGGTAAGGCAAGGCAGAGTTTCAGACTGTACACAGCAAGGGTTTAGATTCACACTTTTTATTTCGCTGTGTGAGTCATAAAATTATCATGTAGGAGTGACGGCTTGTCCTACCTGACGTGTTATTTGAATAGTTATCTGGTGGTCGTGGGGCGAATCACTTGCAATTTATTTTAAGCTACTGTTTGGGAGCGTACTGAATATACGAGAACACGTCAGTTAGAGCAAACATCACTCTTAAGAAACGTCTTTGTTACATTAATTTTAATTAAATGATAATGTGGGTACGGTAGGAACGTCTGAAGAGATTTAGTATTTAAGTGGATCCAAGAGACATTAATAATGAATAACAAGGAAAATATAATATGATGATGATGATGATGATAATCAGAATATGAATAATAAGAATAACAATAGTAATAACTCGATTTATTAAAACTTAATCAGTTAATACTGTACTTCATTTAAAATCACTCACCAGTGTCCCTCGATTCCTTCCAATTGGAAATAAATTTACACTTTGATTCTTTTGTCATTTTACAGACTCCATTGGGGCTACATGCAATAACGCACTGAACTGTGAGAGAAAGAAAAAAAAAGAATAATTAAAAAACAGAACATTATAGATGCATATTTTGATAAGACAATTTATAAAACTTGAGCAGCCGCTATAGAGGAGTGCATACCCCCCACCCTGTTATTGGACTCTATGTAAAGAGAGTGTTGTATGGAAGACATTGGTGGAGGAGGAGAGGAGGAGGAGGAAGAAGTGAAAGAGGAGGAGAAAGAAGTGAAAAAGGATAGTGGGTTGGTGAGAAAACCAAGTGTCAATAAAACCAAGGACAGAGGGTGACCAAATTGCCGAGTAGAAAAAAAAATCAGCCAAACAGGGCCTACTCTGTATCTATTGCACAATGTAAATAAATGGGTTACTATAATAATACACTGTAAAACATCGAATAGAAGCTCAATGGGCTTAATCTCGAGAAGAAGCTTTTTTTTCGAATAGAAGCCCCTCCCCCTCCCACCGCCTCTTTAGATTTGCAAAAGTAGCTTCGAAAAGAAGCCCATC